CCCCGATCGATTAATTTGATTCATTTCTGCGTGTGGTCTACACATCGCAATCCGTCTGCTTATGCTGAGTTGTTGGTTTCTTGTTTGTGATGTTTTTCGTGCTTGAATGGCGGTTTTCTATGTGCGGATGTTCAAACGCATGGTTCAATCTGAGGAAGTGATGTCCGCAAATGGTTTTCCGTCAGTTTTCCCCCAAAATGTGCTCCGTTACTCACAAAAATTGCGCATAGTCGACGGTTGAACTTGTTTCCGTGGTGTTCGCGCGACTCATGAACAATCTCGCTCGTGACGCTTCACCCCTTCACCAGACATACTCGTTGTGGCGATGTGCGTCGGCACCATTGCTGTACAAGTATCATAGCTGTCTTTCCCTTTCTCACAACAAGCCACCGTTGTGCGCTTGGTAGATTCTAAGCTCTGGCTGGCTCTTAATGTTGAGTGTCAGGTGGATATATCATTTCATACTGTCTCTGGCCCTTGATGTTTGGTGTTTTTGTCGACTCGCTATCTGTCTTGGCTGTCTGTCAGGTGGAGATGTCGAAGAACAAGATCCCCTACCTGGTCACCCACGACGGACGCACCATCCGTTACCCGGACCCCCTGATCAAGGTATCCTTCGTAGTCTCAGCTACACTCGATATGAAGACATTGTACGGATGCAACAAGAGAACTAAAGGTAGCTCGTAGTGGCCGTGAGAAATTCGGAAGTACATTACACAGCACTGCACGGCTGGAGAGTCGGACATACCAAAACTAGCGAGTGAATGTTTGAGAGTAGGGCTACAAGGGGTGTGTGATGCCTCGCAAGGTTCGATGTTCCGCGAACGATAGCACAATACCTGAGGGAAGAAAAGACGGCGGCCGTCTTTCATGGGGAGCGGTGATGGTGCGCAAGGCACAACGTTCACAAGTGATTTGTCACGACTCACAACATGGCGATGTCATGATCTTGCGAACGGACATCCTGTCCATCCTCCCAGGTGAACGACACGATCAAGGTGGACCTCGAAACTGGTAAGGCGATCGACACCATCAAGTTCGATATCGGCAACGTGTGCATGATTGCGAGGGGTCGCAACGCTGGCCGCGTGGGCATCATGCAGCACATCGAGAGGTATGCAGGCGGGTGGTGTATTAATTATTATGGACATCGACCGCGCTGACCGGCTCACCAACGGAGATACGTCTGTTTGTCTTCTTTGTTCTGTATTTGTTGCTTTAATGATTGCTAGCATCTACCCGATTATCCGATGAAAAATCGGAGTCTCGTAGGGTTGAACGCGAAAAATGTCCTCATCTGGGGGCGGGTGGCGGTCCGGTCACAGTGTGTGTGCGCATGTTTCGGTTCAACTGTTGGACGTACTCGAGACGGACCACAAAATACCGTAGATGATCATAATCATTAAGATCCGTCCCCCTTCCTTCGCTCGCGAACGCCGTTTATTTTCACAACAGGCACCCTGGTTCGTTCGACATCGTGTCGGTGAAGGACGGAGCCGGCCACGTCTTCGCCACCCGCCTGCAAAACATCTTCACCATGGGCCACGGCACTCGCGCCATGGTAACAATTGTGCCTTCTCGTTTGCCTGCAATTTTGTGAAGTGAACCTTGTGTTCTGGGGGCGAAGAATCACAAGCGGTTTTCGGTCCTGTGCTCGAACCCCTGTGAAGCGAAAATCCTCAAACTTCTCACCCCTACCGTGGACGACCAGCTGCAGAGAGGATGCGTTTCCCTCGTTGACCTGGGTTGGTGGTAGGTCTTGGGTCTTGGGCTCTACGCCAGAGAGGTCAAACCGCTTTATGACACCACCGCTTCTCCTGCCGATGTCGTTGTCGATACTGCTGTTTTGACCAGGTTTCTCTTCCCAAGGGCAAGGGCGTCAAGCTCACCATCCTTGAGGAGAGGGCGGCCAAGATCAAGAAGGCGCAAAACAACTAAGCCAAACCATAACGCAACGCCTACTTGTCACGCCTACGACATGAAAAATATCCGACGCAGGACGCCCTAGTGCGGCGCAATTGCTATCGGTTGATTGTTCGGCCGGGAAGGGGCGGGTCTGAAATGTTGGTTTGGTAGCGTAAGTTTAGTGCCGGTCAGTCGTTACGGCTTTTGCTGCTGCTGCCGCCGCAGTCTGCGGATGGATGGTTCGACGCAGGCGCGTTCTCTCTTGGGGGGGAGAGGCGCGTTGTGTGTTTTGAGGGCTACTGAGAAAACAACTCTTGTTAAAAAACATCAAAAAACAAAACATGAAGCACTGCTGTCAGTGTGCACGCCCGAGCTACGGAACTCCTTGCAAAATTGTTGATTCGCTGCTGGGTTCAATTTTTCTTTCGAGAATGTCTCGCCCGATCGGCGAAAGCCCGGCGAAGCCTGCCACAACATCAACATGGGTGTCGGAACTACGCTGGTTCGATTAAGGCTCATAGCCCGCTGTGCCGGCCATCGCGAGAAAGCGGCCAAAGGACCAAGTTTCTCTCAAGCCACAAATACGCCATTAGAGGAACAGTTATCGCGTTCCGCGTCTCCTTTGACCGAGCTTTGCGATGTGACCGACTTCCGCTGTGGTCGATACAGCCGTCTGTTGCACCATCACGAGACACTCATCAATCGGTTTTGACCTGCGTGCGGGCGAAGCACCCTCTATTTTGGCAGCAGCCATTCAGTCGCGGCTCCATAGACTGCCCTGTACGTCCGTCCTTCGGTCAAACATGATGCCCTTGCTCTTCACAGATTCGAGAAGGTTTTGCTTGTGCATTCACGCTGCGGACATCTTGGCGCCGTTGTATTGTTCGGCCGTAGCACAGCAGGAGAGACCATTCTAGCCCGTGAGCGTTAACTCTCATGACCATCGAGAGGGGCTTCATATCGTCCGTCTAGTTCTGGGACGGGCAGTATCCTTCTACTTTCCTTTCATGTGTTACTTAGATCCGTTCTCTTCGGAATCAGTTTCCATACTCCGATGATTCCAATTATGGTTTGAGATTGAGAAAAAGTTACGCTGCCACGGCCTCGGTCAGGCACAGGGAGGGAAGTGAGTGAGCTACGTATGACAACATATTGGGGGTGCTCCGCGGTAAAGAATAGTTTCCACGAGTTTTTCAATGAGTAGCAAGAAATGGTTCCCAACCTCTGAAACTTTGTACCAACATCCGTTAGGTCACGAGGATCACGAAAATATATTTATTTTCCCATTTGGATGTCGTGGTGATGACTTATTGATGAATTAGTGGCCAAAATTGGGTGAAAATCGCGTCTGCGGGTCCCCCGAGCAAGTTGCAAATGCCTCCGAATCGTATAAAATGTTCAGGTTATAGGCCACTTGTTACGCTGCCTCTTTTTGGGCTGTCCGTTTTCTCAAAAAGTCACAAAGTTGCCCAAAAAGGGACAGGATGGGGTGATCATTTTTCGCTGTCCCTTTTCGGGAGGTTCAAAAACGCAAGAAAAGACCACGTAACAAGTGGTTTTTGGTCAGTTGTCCCTTTATGAGAAAAGGGACAGCTCAAAAAGAGACAGCGTAACAAGTGGCCTTTAGGGTAATGTTGTGTTGTACATCAAGAATCCGTCGTCAGAATTTCGATCAGGATCGATGCGGCCGTGATACAGCAGCTACGCACTGATATATATGCGCGAAAGCAGGAATAACCTGGAATTACTAGGAATTACACTGAAATATCCCCCCTCCCGCAACACTTTCTACATGTTGATTCAATCTCTCCTGACTTCGAATTAGGGTAATTTTGGGGTGGGGATCACAAATAAATATATTGTTGGAATGTCCCAGTTTTGATTTGCAATGGACTTTCAGCTGCTCGGAAGCTGACAGCAGCTGAGCAATTTCAAAATTCCTGGGATTTTGGATTCTCGGTTCCCACGTCGAGTTTTTGTCTGATCAACTTCTTTCTGAGTGGCTCCACCCCCTCTAAATCGGCCAAGCGGAATCGATTGCCGAGGAGAAATGGAGGCGCCGAAATCGGCAACGCGGTTAAAAAAAACAATCAAGGCGATCCGATCACACATTGATTTGTTTCTCTTTTTTCATGCTTTTGAACGTCGTTTTAGACATTTAGTCTATCCAAAAACGGTTTTTCATTCGAGTTTTTCCTCGCCGCGGGAGAGACAGTTCGTCTTTACCGCGAACACCCCATTGGTGAAGTTGAGAGCGAGAGCCAAAAAAAATATAATTCGGGTCCAGACGCCTCTTGCCATTTCTTGGGAAGTAGAGGGCGGGCTCTTCCAAGAAGCGGCGCAAATTGAAGGTCTCATCAGCAGCGTCACGAGCATACCGTATACGACACAAGATAACACACTCCCTGGACCGATTTTCAAAGCATTTCTCTGACGCTATGATTCCATTGCTAATCTGTCTCTGACTCTTTTTTATGATAGAGATGGACTCGTTGTGTCATATTAAGAAAAATAATAATAATATAAAAGCTTGATTGCTCCACGACGAAGAGGATGCATAAACGAAACGATACATTTTCGAAAAGCTCTCGGCCAGACGGTTTGCTCCACGACGAAGAGGATGCATAAACGAAACGATACATTTTCGAAAAGCTCTCGGCCAGACGGTTTTTACGCCGCCGTTTTCGGTGCTGTGACTTTTCCTGCAGTTGAGAAATCGAGCTTCGAAAATTGGTCAAGGGGGTGGGTTATCTCGTGTCATTTATGGTATGCGTGTCATCGTCATCAAATGCTGCAGCTGGGAGCTAGACAAGTTGCTAGATTTCCCCAAATTGGCTATTCCTTCCTCAAACTGTTGTAGGGCGGTTTGGCCTCGGGCGGTGGGCTATGCTGTAGCTTCTGCTCGCCGCTGTAACTCCACATCGAGAGACTCCCACAGAATGACCAGGTATCTGCTTGTAGCTACGGGCTGGCCCTTCAACTCAAGCTACACAGCAAGCTCCACCTTTCAGCAGCAGTCCAGCTGCAGCGCATCGCGCAATCTCGCTCTCAATCAGATGCTTCGCTCTCAATTTCACCAATATGCTGTTGTATATGTTGTCACGGAGAGACAGGCGCGAGGCCTACACCCTTGAGTGACTACTGCTGTAGACCGCGTCCAAGACACCCTTTGACCGCTCAATCAAGTTGCGGCTTCCAGCTTCCGTCCCAGACAGGAAAACAGCGGCCGTGCTTGAGAACTAGGCACTATTCGTGAGCTCGGTGAAGAACCCGTACACTACAACCTACATATCGGCGGCCACTTGTAGCCCACAAGATGAACTAAGAACCCCAAGCCTCATCCGAAACTAGTATGCATACCAGAGGTTCTTGAGTGCGGGCGCTTTCTTTTGTCCGTCCGTCATTGCTTGCCACTGCTGTGGCGTTCTCAGAAAATATGCTACACACAATTGTTGTTGCGACTGGTCCTCCGGTCGGCGAGAGTGCGATCTATCCACCGCAGCTACAAAAACCGGAGCATATACACCCACAAACATGTTATCTGCACACACGTTTTGCACGCACTATACATGCCAAATACCAAACACGACGAAAGTCCGAGGTCGGGTTGGCATTTTTCAAAGTACCGCATGACGGGGAAAAGAACACCAAGATCTCAAGGTTGACTGGCTTGAAAAGGGCATGCCCTACCCTCCTCTCCCTCACCTATCTCTGCATCTCCCCATCGCGCTCTCTCCATCTTCCTATCCAATGGCGAAAAAGCGCCATCCATGTTACAACAGGTCGCATTTGTATATACGAAAACACGGAAGTAGTCGACGAAAAAGGCTGTCTGTATCCGCCGCAAACAAACCTCAGAGCCAGCTCTCGGCTAAAATCGCTAACCTCTCCCCCTATCCCCACCTCGCCTACTTCGAAACAAAGCCCTGACGATCCATCTCCGAAACCGGGCACCCGCCGCCGCCGCGCCTCTCTCCCCCCCGGCCTCTCCTCCACCTGCCTCCCCCGCGCTACCTCCGCCCCCCCGCCGCCTCCTCTTTACAAACCACCGGATTGCTGTAACCAGCTTGGCCCCTGCGTAGAGAAGGGCCGCCCAGGTCAAGGGCTCGTCCAGCCCGNGGGGGGGGGGGGGGGGGCAGCGCTCTCCGTGGTATCGCTCTTGGCAGGTCGCCTGTGTGATGCAGAGTGGGGGGGGAGGAGGGGGGGGTACTCATGTGAACGCATGCCGTAGTCGTTAGACCATGGACCTCGCATCCCTAAAATTCTGGGACGGGGCGATATGCCGAGTTTTCGCCGGCCCAGGCTACGTTTCACAAGGATGAACCAGGACCTGTTCGTCATCCTTGCGTTTGCTGTGCCACAACCAGACATGTTATGGCTGGATTGGGCAGCATATCGGCTACCGTAAATGACACAAGATAACACACCCCCTGGACCGATTTTCAAATCTCGATTTCTCCACAACAGAAAGAGTCACGGCGCCGAAAATGGCGGCGTTGGAACCGTCTCGTCGAGAGCTTTCCAAACGTTTCGTTCACGCATCCTCTTCGTCGTGGAGTAATCGAGCTTTGACAATTGGTCCAGGGGGTGTGTTATCTTGTGTCATATACGGTTACCAAACGTTGCACATCCGGTAGGCACGACAATACGCCAAGCATCGCAAGGGGACTCCGATCTTTGCGCGCTTGTGCAAAACAAGGGGGCACGGATGCGTGCGTCAAACTAATACGTTTGTGTGAACATGAACACTAGTACACGTCAAGATGCCCTGACAACGACAGTCTCGGGGCTTCGGGCCACTGCGCCAAACAAGAAAAAAAAAAGAGTACGTGGAAGAGACGAGAGAGGCGCACCGACACTTTAAATGGTTAGGTGAATAGACAAAGAGACACGCAAGTTGCCGTTCGACCTCGTAGTCACCTATCATGAGGCTGAACCACGCCGCCAACCCCTCCGGCGATCTCTTCCCTCGATACCTCGACGTAAGGTGCCCGTTTCGGAAGAGCAGCAGCTGCGGGAACGTGTGCAGGTCGTACTGCACACAAAAGCTGCAACGAAAGTCGAATAGCAAACATGAACGAAGAAAGAACAAGGCAACGCAAAACAAAAAACATAAAACATTAGCAAAGACGAAACAGACCGTCGCACTTGCCCATCGTTGAAAAAAGGGGGACAACATGCACCTGGGGAGGCGAAGGACAGAAGGCTTGAGGGAGGGGGGCACGCGGATTGGATATTTTGTGGGGAGGGAATTGCCAGTCTCCGCGGGCTCAAGAAATCATCGAATTTCGACCAAGAAAAAAGAAACACCACAATTGCACTGGTACAGCGGTAAACGGGGTAAACAATAAGGTGGGCGCACCCCGACGTCTAGCATGGAGTATAATTGCTTCGGAGGGGGGCATTTTGTTTTCTCTCGCAGTAAGGATCCCGTGGCCAGTACCCAAAGGAAAATCAGTGCCGCAGAATTCTCGAGGGTAACACCGGAAGATACCGTCACGAGGACACCAACAACAACAACAACAACAACAACAACAACAACATCAGAGCAGCAGTAACAACCAAGCCAAAGAGACAGCGGCAACAACAACAACAACACCAACAACATCAGAGCAGCAGCAACACCATCAACAACAACCCCACCGCCACCAAAAAGCAACGACAGCCGCAGCAGCGAAACAGCAGAATCAGCAGCAACGTCAACAATAACAACAACAACAAAATCATCAGAAGAGCAGCAGCAGCAACAACAACAGTCACCTCAAAAATGACGGAGCATTAGCCTTGACCACCCAAGCACGTGGGTACGCCGGCATGATGGAGGTGAGTGCGTTCTCTAGCTCCACGCTGAAGAAGTCTCCCTGAGGGCACAAAAGCGCGGCGCAATAGGGAGGCGGGAAGGGGTACGGGTGGGGAGGGCAGTAGCCTTCGCAGGGATTTCGTATGAAGCAAACATGTTGGATGAGGCATACAATCCGGGAAGCTGGGTGAGGATTAGGTTTATGTAGTACGGTCTGCGTACCCCCTCCCTAGACTTTTTCCTCGTAACCTTGTTCATCGCGCAAAGGCGGTCCGGGGTGGTAGGACGGGGAGATACTCGTGTCTTGGTATGCCTTAGCGATTAGACCATTGACCACGCGTCCTCGAGAGGCCAGAGCTGTGGTGGGGTGGGGGGTTAGTCCATGCTGGTTCCCATGGTCCCCGCCAGCTATATCGCTCGTTCTGGAGTAAGATGGGCGACAAAAGCTGGTTAAAAAATGGCAGTCCTGGGTTGCCCCTGCAGAGCACATAACTTTACGAACGAAAAACAAGAGAGGCATCCCGGCTGCTAGTTCACCTTGAGAAAGAGGAAAATTCCCAGAAAGTTATCCTCCTCCTCGTCGTCGTCCCCGTGATCTTCTTCCCCATCACCCGAGGACTGCCCTGCGCTCCCCCTGTTGCTCTTCTTGGCTTCTTCTTGCTTCTTCTTGCGGCGAGCCGCTACTCGCTCTTCTCTTTCCCGCTTCTCCGCTGCTTCTGCGGGGTCAACCTCGGTGTACACCTGCAGAAAAAATAGTTCCACAAAGAGTGAGGGAATACCATGGGATAAAACGCCTTACAGAGGAGTGGGCCCCTTATAGAGTCGTTCATGTGTCCCGAGATTTTGCCGGCACTATACCGGACACCGGGACTATTCAAACTACAGAACGACTTGGTTTTCAGTGTGTGCGACCCGAAAACATCGTCACCATACAAGGCCCACTACTCTGTGCATATGGGAGCAAAACGCCGTTACACCGCGAACAGTAGGGTGAAATAACATGGTGCTCCTCCTCACACGGAAAAAAAACACCAACACGTGCACACATCCTCGTGCAATCATCCCATCTCGTCTTTCGCCCTCTCCCCCCCCCCCCC